ACCGGCAAAAAGTTATTTCAACTTTTCTTGTAACAAAATCATTTCTTTTTGCTCCTCCTGATGAGACGCTGTCGCTTCTCTCATGAACTCCTCATGTGTGTGTGTGTTGGTGTGTGTGTGTGAGTGGTACGAGTACAAACGAGCAGTCAGGCAGGCAGCCAGCCAGTTGGCATAAGCATAATGATGATGAATGGCCCATCCTGACATATGAAGCGCATTAATACAGTCTGTGCCATCGGCGTATGGAGCCTGTAGTGGAGGGGCGGGGGGCTAGGCTACCCTTCTATGACAGTTTACCCGTGAGATTCATATAGATGAATGGCCATAGTCTCTTGTGGGGCGCGTGGGCATTAGGAATGTGTCCCCCCCTAATGCAATTTGGAAAACTACAAAATATACAAAAAAAAAGGCTTGGCAAACTAAATGGAATAATGAGTGGTCTTAGTGGAATATGGCTTTAGGCATTATTTTGGGAAATTTTTCCCTTTTTTGTGGCACAGTGATACGATGGGAAAATAGTGGAATATGTGGTAAATAATGCAAATATTAATGAAGAATATATATATAGTCCCAACTGATCTCATTCCACCGAGATTTATGCATTGGCTGAAGCTCAAGCGCAAAGCGAAAAACGAGAAGGCCCGAGAGTGCAAAAACAAAATATGTACATTCCATGCGTGGACCACAGATAATCGCGAAATCAACATTTAGAACATTTAAAAGGCAGTTTAAGACTGTGTAAAGATGGATATAGTTTAAGAATCTTGTTAGAAATATAGAAAAGAAAAATGACACCCTAATGCACTGGCGAGGACCAGTTACCGACGTAGGCTGGCCAGAATCCACCTAGTCGACCTGCCCAACAGGATGATATAACAGTGGCTCTACCCTAGAAACCTGGACAGATAATCGAACCAAATAATATCCCCCTCGAAACTCTTGACGACACACGTTATTATTATTATTTTTTTATGTTTTCCAATTTCTTGAAACATCTGCAACTAATCAAATTTGTAAAACTGTTTTCTTTCTTTTCTCCACTGTGTTTATCGTGAATTCTATATTATTTATTAATTACAAAAATAAAAAAAAATCGAATAGAGCGACCAAAAACAAGCACCACTTCAAATTCTTCAACATTGATGAAACAAAAATTTGTTATTTTTTTATTTTTTTAATCATCGTAATTTTTTCTGTTTTTTTTTGTATGAGTTGCTCTAACAGTAACATCAAACAACATAATTTATATCATTAATATTATTTTATAATCAAAAATACAAAGTATAGTCCTAAATTTAATTTTAAAAAAGAAAAAAATTATTTTTTATTTATTTAAATTAACATCCATTAAAAAATAAAAAGAATCCACTTGATTTGAACATAAATGTATTAGAGAGCCTGTTTAAATAGTCAAATATTTAATTAAAGTCTAAAATATTATAAAATATATATATGATATTGGGAAATACGTATATAAAAACACTTAATTTTAAACATAAAATACATGTAATTATTTAAATCAAATATTTTTTTTCAATTAAATTTAAGTGAAAACACTTTAATTTTACGTTTTCCACTTTCCCGAATAAATCGATTGGTATACATATTTTGCAAAATTTTCAGTGCCTTTTTTCTGTGGTAATCGAATCCTTCAGGTCAATTTAATATGGATTTAATAAGTCTCCATTGAGTTTGATGTATGTATTGATTTATTTATTTATACATATATGAACGCTTTAAGCCCTATTTTGGTTGGTAGTAACCGTTAAATCCTCTTTTATTGAGTCTTCCGACGGCTTATCAAACGTTTTGCTCGACGCATGATTAATGCATAAATATATAATGTGAAATGATAATTATTTAAGCACCAAAAGCTGATTACGTAAGTTAAACAAAGGCAAAATCCGCCATAATTTATAATTAATCGTCGCTTATTGACTTACTTATGCAAATGGCTTTGTTTTTGCACTTAATTAACTCATAAGTTTGTAATTATTTGCATTGCTTTACAGCTCTACGAAATAGGCGGCATATGGTCTGGTTTTTTTTTTTATATAAAAATGCTCCAACGATTTATGCCGACAAATTACAATTAAATAAGCAGCCGATAGTGCGTAAAAAATGTTATTAATATTAATGAAACCAGGAAATTGATAGAAACAGGCAATTTAAATTCTGATAAAAAAAACCAACAACTATAATTATAATTATAAAATATAAATCTTTAGATGGGGTAATTTTCAGGCGGCGAATTGCCGGCCCTTGGCAACATTTTTCACTCCGAAAATGACTCCGAAAAAGGGCCTGGCAACATTACCCCGCCGTCAAACTACCCCTGAACGGTCATAGGGGTCCAAAAATTAACCACAATCCAGGGAGAAATTGCATAAAATATTTATAAATTCTAGCAACAAGCCAAATGCATTAGTGGATGACCCAAAAGGTCCATCAATGACAGAAAAAAAGAAAAAAAATATGCCAAAAAGTTTTTTAATAAATTAAAAGTAAATATTTGATGAGGCCAAAAATCACTGCGGTATGATTAATGTTTAAGAAAAATATGCCAGGCGATTAAAAGGCGGCCTTGGGCATCATTTATCATGGGGCAGGGTCTACGTCTCCGTCTCCGCCTCCGCCTCCGGCTAGACAGGATACGTGATAATGCACAATACCTTTTGGCGTGCCACTTCGCTGGGTGTGGCCAGGATTCGATGTGGGTTTGTTACCTTTTGAATAAAAAATTCGCCCACCCCGCGCCCCCCTTTTGACAGGCACATATCAATCAGAGCCGGGCGCTGGAAAAACAGGGAAATAATCTTCGTTTGACGGGGAGACAGAGACAGAGAGAGAGAGAGGGGGGGCGGGGGCCTTAAATGCATTATGACAAATATTCCGCCATCTCTCCGTGTCTCTCTGTGTCTCTCTTTGTGGAGGCCAGACCACGCACAATTCTGTTTAAATAAAAAAAAAAAAACATTTCGTTGTGAATTTTCCTGCTGTTGACATGCACCCAAGAAGCTCCCCCTACCCCCCTCCTTCCTGGACACATGCCGTAAATCAATTTTATATTTATTATTTTATGAATTGCAATTGCTTTTATTTTTCAATCGGAGTCCCTGTGCGGCCTGGACTCGCACTTAAGCAAAAGCAAAGCCATACGCGCAATTTAATTTACCGTCTGTGGCATATGTCTCTCTGTTGCACGAACGACCTTAATTGGAAATATTTGTATGTCCCGTGCGGCACGTAATTTTGTGGTCAACCAGGGGGGGGGCCCCTCTTAAAGATATGATGCCAGACTTCAATTGGATCTCCGGCTCAGAGACCCCCTTCGAAGGGGTCTTGCGATAGTTTTTGCCCGTGATATTGCCACCAGCATTAACACATGTGTCCTCGCGGACTAATTGAAATATTTTACACTAATGACGGTCTGCTTGCTAATGACGCAACCGAACTACTTATTAAATTGTCAATGAATCGCGCTGCGGCGACGGCCTGTCCGCCTGATTGTTTGTTTGCCGTTTTTTGGCCTCCCCCCAGCCCCCCTTCCCCCGCCCCACAAATTGAGGTCGCCCGTCGACATGGAAATCAACGTTCGCCATTTGGCTGCGGTGGCAACATATCGCATGCAAATTTTCACAGAATATCATTACCCTCCCCGGTCACACAGCCTCCCCCCCCCCCCCCCCCCCCTCCAGAGCTCCTCTGTTGACACACACTCGGACCGGAATGCTGCGGGAGGTGTCGCTGGCGTAGAAGAGCCTTTTTGTAATGTGTACACATTAACGAAATTTGCATATTAATTAAAAGTTAACGACGCTGTTTGGTAGATGCTGCCCGGCGACCATTAAATCGTTCGACAGGAGAAGAATAATCAAAAAAAAATCCATTACAAGTGGAGGATAGCCGGCATTTGGAAACTATTTGTAGGCCCAAAGGACATTCGATGGCTGGAGATGGGAATAAAGTGCTCTGCGGAGTCTTGGTCTCTCATCGTCTCGCTCTTAGGCACGATCCTCTTTGAACGAGTCTTTCAATACGCCCTTCTCCGAGCGAGTCCTTATATACTCCCCTCTATGAAGGAGTCTCTCAACACGCCCCTCTCTCAACGAGTCTCTCAATTAGCTCATCTCCGAGCGAGTCACGCAATACGTCCCTGTCTCAACGAGTCTCCCTAACGTCTCTCTCTGAACGATCCTTTCTAAGCGAATCTTTCAATACGTGCTTCTCTTGACGAGTCTTTCAATACGCTCCTCTCTTAACGAGTCTTTCAATGCGCCCTTCTCTAAACGAGTCTCTCAATAAGCCCCTCTCTTAACGAGTCTCTCTATACGTCATTCTCTGAACGATCCTTTCTAAGCGAATCTTTCAATACGTCCTCTTAACGGGCTTTCAATACGCCCCTCTCTTAACGAGTATCCTAATACGTCCTTCTCTCAACGAGTCTTTCAATACGACCTTAGCGAGTCTCTCTAAACGTCTCTCTCTGAACGAGTATCTCAAATCGCCCCTCCTATAACGAGTGTCACGGTACGATCCTCTCTCAACGAGTCTCTCAATACGCCCCTCTCTCAACGAGTCTCTGAATAAGCCCCTCTCTCAACGAGTCTCTGAATAAGCCCCTCTCTGCGCGTGTCTGTCAATGCGCTCCTCTCTCTCACTCGCTAGAAATGGAATAGGCAAATGACAAGAGTAACGGAGCAGCCACGAAAAGGAAGTTGTTCAGGAACATCAGAGATAAATATAGACAGCCATCAGAAAGTCATAAACTACCTTCGTAGGGACTTCAATTACAGTCAACAGACCAAAACACACTAAGAATAATCTTAAGAACCCATATATACATATATACATATATTTAAACAGAGAAAATTCCTTTCCAATTTTGCGCTGTCAATTCACTTGGTTTTAGAAGTCAGTTGTAAAGTACTTGTTAGTGCTCATTGCTGTGTGTAAAATTTAAGTAAAAAACTGAAGCGCGCGTACCAAATTTTTGCTTATTTTGTGCACACGTTCGAAATGATGGATCGCAGTGATAATGCGGCGGAATCTTTCGACGATGCCGTCGAGGAGCGTGTGATCAACGAAGAGTACAAGATATGGAAGAAGAATACCCCTTTTCTGTACGACTGTCTGGTCATGACACACGCTCTGGAATGGCCATCCCTGACTGCCCAGTGGCTGCCCGATGTGACCAAGCAGGACGGCAAGGATTACTCGGTGCATCGCCTCATTTTGGGGACACACACATCAGACGAACAGAATCACTTGCTGATCGCCAGCGTCCAGCTGTCCAGCGAAGATGCCCAGTTTGGTGGCTTTGGTTCTGTGTGTGGCAAAATAGAGATTGAGATCAAAATCAATCACGAAGGCGAGGTGAACCGTGCTCGTTATATGCCACAGAACGCTTGCGTTATTGCTACCAAAACCCCGTCGAGCGATGTCCTGGTGTTTGACTACACAAAACTCAAAAATCCCAGCAAACCGGAGCCATCCGGAGCCATCAGCCAGCCAGATCTGAGGCTGCGCGGTCATCAGAAAGAGGGCTATGGCCTCTCTTGGAATCCTAACCTGAATGGCTACTTGCTCTCGGCCTCTGATGATCATACCATCTGCTTGTGGGACATTAACGCCACGCCCAAGGAACATCGCGTGATCGATGCCATGAATATTTTCACTGGTCACACCGCTGTCGTTGAGGATGTGGCCTGGCATCTGCTGCACGAGTCGCTTTTCGGTTCTGTGGCCGACGATCAGAAGCTCATGATCTGGGACACGCGGAACAACAACACCTCAAAGCCATCGCATACCGTCGATGCCCATACGGCCGAAGTCAATTGTCTGAGCTTCAATCCCTATTCGGAGTTCATCTTGGCCACGGGCTCCGCTGACAAGACTGTGGCACTGTGGGATTTGCGTAATCTGAAGCTAAAACTACATTCCATCGAGTCGCACAAGGACGAGATCTTCCAGGTGCAGTGGTCGCCTCATAACGAGACCATTCTTGCCTCTTCCGGCACCGATCGTCGCTTGCACGTTTGCGATTTGTCGAAAATAGGCGAGGAGCAGAGCTCAGAGGATGCTGAAGATGGACCACCAGAGCTGCTCTTCATTCACGGCGGCCACACGGCCAAGATCAGCGACTTCTCATGGAACCCCAACGAGCCGTGGATCATTTGCTCCGTGTCCGAGGACAACATAATGCAGGTGTGGCAAATGGCAGAGAACGTATACAACGACGAGGAGCCCGAGATACCGGCTTCCGAGTTGGAAACAAACACCGCTTAAAGCATACATATATGTACATATTTTCCCACACGACCAATTTTACGTTTTTCTCTCTGCTCCTGCTCCTGAAATCTAGCAGTGCTCCATCTTAATTTATACATATTACATATTTTTAAATCGAATTAAGTCAACTTTCTGTCAAAAGCAAACGTATGTTGTACGAATCTTTAATTAAAACCGGTCTTAAAAGAAACATATAAAAAAGCCTTGAAAATTGATTAGTTAGATCTAGCTTTAAACAACTTATACCATATACCATGTGGCATACATTTATCCAACTTAAATACACTCGTTTTGTCTTCTACGAGTACAGTGATCAAAAGGCTGTTGACACTAGGGCTGCCTCCTGCCGGGAAAGCAGTTTTTTCCTGTACATTCGATAAGCATTGAGATAGAAATAAATTTATACAATAGATTGATTAATTATGAATAGAGTAAGAAAGTTTGTGGTTTCCAGGACCCATCTGATTCCCAATATCCCCCAAATCAGCTGTTCTCCGTCGGCCAGTGTAAACGCCCATTCTACGTGATAGGAAAGGACCCATAAATAAACATATTTTCCCCCAATGCCGAGCAACCAGCCAGCAATCGGATGTGTGTGAATGATTTAATCTTTGTTTTCTACTGTTGGTCGATATGTTACAGGATGTCCCCGATACTCGTATCAACAGCTGGCTAATTATGGAAGTTCATGCCACAATTCAAGCGAACACACACTCTCCCTCCCTCTCTCTCCCTCTCCCTCTCTCTGGCAATCGATTTAAAGTTATAATTGCTGGAAAAGTTTTTGGGGCAAATACTTTTAGCAAACATTGTATTGTCGATTGTGCTGCTGTTGCAAATCCAATTTTCCAATTCTCAAATCGCATCAAATGCAAAATGGTAGCCAGGGAGCTCCCTGGCTTCTCGGCCAAAAAGTCTCAAATAAAATGTGACAAAAACTAAAGTATATTTTTAATAAACCCTGAGAACAAATTGCCCAGCAATTTGTGGGTGATTTTTGTACAGAAAAATAAAGGGTAATAGGCAGTATTTCAGACCACACACAGAGCCCCTGTGCAACCTGTTTTTTGGGGGAGGGAGGAACAATCGAAATGATTGTCGGAGAAGAGCCCCCAAAATCTGCAGCAAAAGGGAATTTCAAGGATTCGAACAGCTGCATTGCCTGTAAATCCTGGGGTGTTCACTGAAAGGTTCTTCAACTAATCAGAACTTCCCCCCACAAGCTCGAAGGTATATCGAAATTGATGGATGGCCCTGGTTGCAAGTTCCCCTAACCGATGGGCCCCGGAAAACTAAAGAGAGCAGCTCTTTATCTGCATCTGAAAGTTGCCCAATCATTGGGACCAGCTGCAGGACAATAGTAATATAATTTTCAATAACCTTTTTAGCAAATCATTTCATTGGTACATGGTCTCGTGACCTCCAGAGCGAGAGAATAAATATTAATAACTTGGAAGAAAGAAAAGAAGAAAGGAAGGAAGGTAGAGAGAGAGAGAGAAAAAAAGGTGAAGGCTAAGCTTAGTTGCTCGTCTCGGTTCTTAGTTATCTGGAGGTTCCAGTCCTTCTGGGGGGCACCGCAAACAGCATCCCGGCGTCTCTCAAATAATAATAAAGCACTGGACGCAGCACAACGAGGCACGTAAAGGAGGGGTGGCTGGGGGGTGGCTGGGGCAGTGAATAGACAAATAGTTTTGTTGTTGATGACAATACAAAAACATTTCAGACAGGACAAAGCGGGGGGGGGGGGGGGGGTGAAAAAAAACGAACAGGCGCATAATAAAGAAGCAAGAGCCCAGAAATGGAAATGGAAATATTTTTATACCACCCTCTCCCTCTCTACCTCTCTACCTCTCTCTCTCATAGACAGGTTAAGGAATGTACCAGACCCTGAGCTGAGCTGGACTAAATATTAAAATTCATATGCCATGTCGTACAGGCCAAAATCAGTCGCCCCCCCAACCGCCCGCCCCGCCCCCAACAATCACAACGATTTTCATTAGGCAAACGGGAGAGTAGCCGAGCATATTTGCCGTAAAGCGAAAGGATTGCCCGGCACAGAAAGCTCTTTGCACAATTCATGTGGCATACTATTTGCAGTCAGTGTGTCCTGAGTCAGCTGAAGCGTTCGGAGAGGCCCTGGCACTGTCAATCCGGCAAAACGTGCCATGAAACGAGCCGTTGAGCTGGGACAAAAGAAGGTGCACCTCCACCAAAAAGGGCATATATTTCCACCACCTGCATACACCATATACCCTGGCAAAACATACAAGTACCCAGGGGCCAGGATAGGGCACAGGAAAAGGTGGTGGGGAGGGGGGGGAAGCACACACAAGGCAGAGGACACTCGACAACTAAACTGCAAAAATATTACAAATTCAAAATGCTAAATGTGCATTTAACTTGTGTATTTATGCAAATCTCTCGGAAATTATTTTGCCTCACAGTTGCCCAAGGTAAAGACAGAGAGGGAGAGGGACAGGGAGAGGGAGAGAGCACCGGACATGAAATACTCGTAGACGAGTACAGCCAGTGTGTGGTGGTGGAGCTTTGAATATATTTTTTCCTCTCTCTCTCTCTCTCTCTCTTCCTCTCCCTCTGCCATGTCACATGTTCGTTCCGATTTCGCCTCGGCTTGTCTGCCAATTGTCACCGTTTCGGATTGATGGCAAAGTGAACATTCTTTGTTCTGTTCCACGTCCTGGCCAGGGTCCTGCTGTGGTTGGACCACATGGCTTTGGTTTTTGGATATTTTTCGTTTTGCCTTTTCGGATGCATAACTGGACGTCGAGTATTTAATGAGCTCCGCTCGATGCTGCATATTTTACACAGACAATAAATCTGCACAGCACATTGCTGGCAGTGTGGCACAGTCATGAATCTACCGTGGCATGGCTTCATTTGCGTCACGTTATTGCATATTTATGCCCCGCCTGCAACCGTGCAGCCTTCATATGAAATTATTCAAGGTAATGTGTGTGGATCCGACTCGGGCGCATTACAAATTCTGGTTAGCCAGCAAAGTGCTAAATCCGATTTAAGCCCAAGTCCGAAATTTCCCCCAGGCAGCACTCAGGCGCAGCCAGATCTCTTCAAGGGAATATCTAATGCGACTGGCACTCGAACCTTTTCGCAATTAAGTTTTCTGAAATCAACCACCAAGCCAGGCATTAAAGTTGCCTCAAACATTTCTGATGAAGTACCTTTCCCTTTGAGAGAGAGAGAGAGAGAGCTCTGTTTCCATATTGTCTGGCAGTCATTCAAAATGAAAGGCCTTCCCAGGCAGGCAAACAAATATACAAGCAAACAAAAACCAGAAAACAGCAGAGCTTCAGGTGTCGAAGTTTTAAATACCCTACGTTTTCATTACGTTGTGAAGAAACACAAGCTTCCTTTTCAGGGTATGCGAAAAAAAAAGAAAAAACAAAACACCAGCACATTTTTTCGTTTCCCTTTGCAATCGCTTTTTCGCAGACACTTCTGTCGATCACAGGCTGCCAAAGGTGTTTTTCTTTTGCTTTTGCTTGCGAGATGAGCATTGCAAAGAGAGCGGTGCTTTTTCTGCCGCTCTCTCTCACAATGCACCGAAATGAGCCGCTTATTGTATGAGACAGACGTGTTCAATCGTGCCCTACCGAAGGCAAGAAACAGAGCACACGAAGTGCAGGTAGAAAAGGTGTTCGGCTCGGGTCTGTGGGCGATAGGAGTTCGGCTGTGCTTGGTTTCGTTCTCGATCTCTTTCGCAGATCTCATAGAAAAAATTAAATTGCGTTTATTTGCTAGCTCTGCTGCCTGCTGGGAAGAGATCGGGTGGGCTTGGTTTTTTCTCCTTTTTTTTGCCTGCCGATTGCACTGGCGTTTATTTGCGAACTTTGGACTGCCGATGCTGATCACCTTCTCGGCTCAACGACTTTTGCTTTTCGTCGTTCCAACCATACAAGCTCTCAGAATACCCTTTAAAGACTCTGTCATACCCGCAGCCATCGGGCGTCATTCAATTTGCTCTACGCTTCGACTTGAATGAGTTAATCCCTTTGCAAATCGCCGGCATATTATCAGTCTGGCAGGATGCCGTTACCGTTCCCGTACCGGGAACAATGCGACGAGACGAGACGCCGCCAATGTCGGGCTATTGTTTATCAATTTTATGCAAATCTCAGCCGCCCGGCCGCACTTCTCCTCATCGGTTCTTTTTGTTGTTGTTGCTGTTGTTGGGTCTCGTGTGTTCTGTTTTGTTGGTCTGCCGTCGGCTGCTATCAGGTGGACGGCATATTTTCGAAATTGAATTAAGTTGGCTTTTCGGCATTGAATACATTTTAATAATTTAATTTTATATGCCGGCCCAAAAGCGAGGGCTCAGCATTTAATCAAATAATTAAGATCTAAAACTATGGCGATTGAGGGGCGCACACAGAAGGAAAATGCTTATTAGCCACTTGAAGAGTTTATTTTTCGTTCGAAATGTGCTGCCGTAGAAATGATGCCACCCACCCATCCACCCACCCACTAGTCCTGCTGCGGGGCCCGCGTTCTGCTGTTGATTTCCGTTTAGTCGAAAATTCGTTTTAATCCCACACGTCCCTCGCGGGTTTTGCCTCGAAAAAACTTTCACTTTCCCTTTCGTTGCGCGCGGCTGAAATTGAAACTGTTTAGCCGGAGGACAATCATCCGGCTCCGGCTCCGACTCCGGCTCTGGCTTCAAAACAAGTCCATGGCCCCGGGGCCACACACGACTGTTGGCGGGTGCGGGCGAGGGTTCGGGCTCGGAGGCCAGATTTTAATTCAATTACATCTGTAGCTGCTAGTCGTGTGCAAATATTTTCATAGGACAAATTAAAGCGTCGCGCCGCCTGCAGCAGCCCTGCAGAAGCAAAAGCAGGCCCATGCGTGATCCGCTATTTGCACTTGAGACTTATGCCCTCGCGCTCCTTGGGAGGCAAAAAGCTCTCTCACCACTCTCTCTCTCTCTCTCTCTGCCTCTACTCACACAATCGAGCCGAAATGAGTGCCTGCATTGTAGAGAGTCGTGTATGATGAGGCTTGCCGGCAGCACCCAGAGGGTATAATTGTGGTTGGACGTGCACCCAAGTTGCCCAATTGTCTTGTTGGCCCTTGTGCCGCTTGCATAATAATGATTGCAGTCTGTCCGTGAAAGCAGAGCTCTCCCACTGACCCCCAACGTAGTATTTATCT